CCCTGTGACCTGTGTGGACCTTCTGTCCTGAGGTTTCTCCAAATCCCTCAGGCCTCCTTAGAGCCTCAGACTATAACACCCCTAGAGATCCAGTAGTGGGGCCTTACCCATCCTGTGTGACCTGGACTGTGTCCAGCCAGCTGAAAGTGCTCTGTGCAGCCCCGTTCCACAGAGTAATCTTCTCCGGCGTTACCTCAATCCGGAAGTCCATCTGAGTGTTGGCAATGCCCAGTTTGCCAAAGTAAGTCTTCCTAGTCTCGGAGTTAGGGCTTCCGCTCTTATCACCAATGATCTGTCCATTAACTGTGAAGCCTAACAGAGGCACGGAGCAGTGAGAGACCAGCGAGACCTTCTGCATCCAGCTGGCCTTTAAGAATGGTTCTTCCCCCTTCAGCCAGACATGCTGAGAGGTTGCAAAGTGGCAGCCCCAAATAGAGACCAGAACTTCAGAGCTAACCCTGTCTCTTCCTAGACACCCTGGTGGCCGAGGGCCCCCATTGTAGGTTTTGCCCTTACCGGGGTCAGCGAGTGTTGTAAATACTATAGTGGAGAAAATCTATTCCCCAGATATTGGTTGTGACCTGACCCCAGGGCCAGATCACCCTTAATTCTAACCATTGCGTCAATACACTGGCCCTTGGGGGACTTGGTGAGCCTATGGTTCTGGACAGCCCCCTCTAGGATGTAATCTGCATATGAACATGGGAGTGTTTGGGCAGGCAGAGTGAGGACTGTGGTCCATGTGCCTTCCCTGGGTAGGGACTCCAGGCCTTCCCAGGAAGGGCCCCTGGCCCCAGCCGCAGCCCCCACCTGTGATGGGGTCCTGAACGAGGCGCAGTACTGTGCCTGGTTCTTCATCAATGTTGAAGCAGATGGCATCATCTTTCTCCGCGACTTGGATGATGAAGTGGGGGTCTCCATCCACTGAGGGCACATCAGAGAAGGCGCTGGATCCCAGGACCTCTCATTGTCCCAGGGCCTCCCCTCGCCTCCTTGCTCCTTGCTCCTTGCCAGGCAGGAGGCCCTGGGCCCTGAGCCTCACCCTGGGAGGAGCCGGGGAACTCACCATAGTAGTAGGGTGTTGGAGGAGTCTGGTAGCTGTCTGTGGACGCAAATGAGAGAGGGCTGAGCTAAACAAGCAGGCCTGGTTAGAGTTTGGTTCATGTTTGTCCCCTTTCTTCCTTAATGTTCTCATCACACACTCCCTATCTCCTCAGGATTCAACCACCTGCCTGTCCCAGAAAGCCGACTCAGAAAAGACCAGTGAGGAACGGTGCAGGGCCCTGCTCTGGGCGGTGGGCAGGGGGCTGCGGCAGTAGCGTATACTCACCCAGGTAAGCCATGGAGGGGATCACTGAAAAAAGAAGCCAAAGGGAGTCATGAGCAGGCTCTGGGGTTCCCTCTCTCCCAACCCCATGCCTTCTGCCTGTCTTGGGACTGCTGACCTCCAGTGAAGCCCCAACACTGACAGAGGGTAGGGATGTGACCCTTAGGTTTAGGCTGTAGAAATGGGGGCATGCCCAGGGAGCTTCTTTCTAGGCCTGGTGGTGGTGTAGGTGTAATTTTAAGGCCAGGTGCATGGTGTTTTGATGTCACTAACATACACACCATTAGCTGGTCAGCTTCTCTGTCATGAGTAATGCTCACAGCAGACACCAGCCCTTATCCCTGAACTCCCACCCCACCATTTGGGTGGGGTGTGACTCATACATATCTGTTATCTTTGGTAGCAACCCCGCCCGCCACCTCAACATATACACTAATTATGTGCACGCATACACCAGTGACTGTATGGGGCTGTTGTGAGGGGAAAGCGATGACCCCAGACAAATGAGCTGCTTGGATAGAACAACCTGATGGAGGTGGGGCAGGCAGGCAGGGGCTGGGTGATGCCTGGTGGTGATGGGCTTGTGGGGGCTCAGATTCCAATTTATCATGAGAGAGGCACAGAGTGCTGTGAATTCAAGCTGAGGCACTGGAACCAGGCTGCCTGGGCCACCTGCTGATGGAGCCCTTAAGCAATAGACAACCCTGTGCCTCAGTCTCCTCACAGTAAAATGGGAACTGGAAGAGCCCTCCCTCGAGTGTAAGTGCCTGATATGGGAAACTGCTCATTTTGCAANGTGCTGATAACACCAAGGTTGCCTGTTCGATCCCTACATGGGCCAGTGAGCTGCGCGCGATCTGCGCCCTCCACAACTAGATTGAAACAACTACGTGACTTAGAGCTGATGGGTCCTGGAAAAACACACTGTTCCCAAATGAAATATTTTTTAAAATAAAAATAAAAAACATACAGAGAATAAAACCAAAAACCATGAGAATGAAAATAAGAGGGAAAAAATCAAGCAGGAGGAGAGTTAAATCAGTGGCACCAGGGTAGGGGAAGCTGCAGCAGCACAGAGCTTGGCTCCGAGCTTCCTAGCAGCCAGGTCAAGCAGAAAATGAGCTTATTTGCTTGCTAAGAGGAAGCAAATCAGATCATCAGTGAAAACGTTCTTTTCCCAGCTCTTGGGCTCTACAGGATGTTTACTGAGTGAGTCTTTCTGAAAGGGTCAGAGGAGAGGCCATGGGAGGGGCCTCCGGCTGCAGGTTTGCCAAACACACAGGAACACTTTCCTGCACTGCTGCCTCTCCAAGCCTGGTTGGCAGGCAGGGGTCTCAGGCTGAGTTGCTGTGAGACAAGGGAGCAGCCTTGGGGACCCTGTCAGACTTGTTGTGGGGCTAGCTGTGAATACTGAGATGAGAGAAGGGTGCTCACCCCTCTGGGACACCACCGCCTGGGCTGGGCTGTGGAATTTGTGCAACAGCAGAGGTGTCCTGGGTGATTCACTAGCCCAGTCAACGGGGCAGGTGTTCTCTGTGAACAGCTGGAAGTAGGTCCATGTCCTTCACTTTCAGCACCTACTTGGGTCAGGCCCTGGGCTGAGTGCTGTGGGTACCTTGGGCACCGTGACAGACACGGTGCCTGTTGTGACAGCTGCCACCCAGAGAATGACCAGGTGCCACAAGGAGCCCAGAGGGAGTCACCTTGCCCAACCTGGGGAATCTCAGGGAAGGCTTCCTGGAAGTGGCGTGGTTGGGGTTGAGTTTTGAAAAATAAAGAGAAGTCCGTGGAAAAGGAGGACAAGGACACCAGGCCGAGAGCCAGGACATTGTGCATCGAGTTCAGAGAACATTGTCGTGGCCCACGGCCAGATCCCACCCCACCCCTACTGGCATTCATGACCCTTCCCAATCTGACTGCAACCTTCTCCAGCCTGATTGTGTCCCGTCTGTGCTACCAACCAAAGCTGCCCACTGCTCACTGCTTCCTGCAATGGGGTACCCTCTGTCCGCATGCCCTCGGCTCCTCAGGCAGAGAGAGCAGCAGAGGCATAGCATCTGGGGCCGGAGGGGTTATGTTTTCAGAACTGGAAGCAGTCAGTGTGTGTGGAACCCAGAAAGTGAGGGAAAGGGCCTTGTGTGTGGGGCTGATGAAGCGGAGAAGCCATAGGAAGGATTTTTGTCTTTGTCCCAAGAGCAATGGGTAGGAGATGTCATTTATAGGGTTTTATGCAGGGAGTGATGATCAGTTCTATCCTGGAAGCTCTCTCTGGAAGTAGGGAGACCCAGAAAGGGGCAGTTGCGATTGTTCAGGTGGGAGAGGCTGTCAGAGCTCCTTCTCCAGGAATCTGTTTGATGCCCCCACCTCCCTCACACACACACACACTCCCCACGCAGGACTTATTGTGAGGGTGAAGTAGGTGGTCACCATGGGGTGTGATTGGAAGACCCCCGGGATCTCCAGACCAGCTGAGGGTAAACTTGAGACACCCATGAAAACAGGAACTAGTTTAAGCTATGTGCCCCCATGTCCTGGCCGAGAATGTTGGATTTATCTGCTGAATGGATGGATGGTTGGTAGATGGATGGGTGGATACTGGGCGGGTGGGTGGATGACTGGATGATTGGAGGGGTGGAGGGGTGGAGGGATGAATGCCATCCACAGTTAGCTGCAGGCTGTGTCTGTCCTGGAGTCCACTCTGCCTCTGAGTCATAGAGGGATCTTCAGGCCTGAAGGTCCTGATAGGAGCTCCTGAGCCAGGACCTCTGACTTTTCTCATGACCCCCCTGGACTCTGAAATACACTCAGCCCTTCCCAACTTCTCAGAGCCTCTTTGCTCAAGGTCAATTCTTGTTTTTTTTCCTTCCCTCACCATCAAATATTTGACTCCCCAAAGTGCCACCCCAAACAAGCCTGTCTTTCAGTCGCATTGTTGGGGAGGCCCAGGACGTTGCCTTCCTTGCATCGAGCCCCTCCCTTTCAGCTAACTGGGGTCCCAGCTAGTGTTCCCTGAAACAGGAGCTCAGAGGGGCATGCAGAGGCTGGCGGCGGTCTGGCTTCTACCTCGGCCTTTATTATCGCAGCCCTGCCCTACCCCGCTCTGTGTCCCTGTTCCAGATGTCAGGTGAACTGAGCCAGGCATCTCAGCAGGAGCTGGTATGTCTACTCAGAACAGCTCAGGGACAATGTAGTCGCTGTGGACACCGTCAATCAGCCCTTGGCCATTATTATGGACGAACCAGCAGGCAACCTTTGTGCCGCTGCTGACATCCTTCCTGTAGTCTTTCTGGGAGCCCCTGGAGAAAAGGAAAGAGATGCCATGATACACAGGGTAGGCAAGATGGCTGCTACGCTCTTGGACCTAAGGTTGAAAAAGGGTATGAAGTTGCCAACTCTAGGAGTCCAGAACTCTTTGGTCAAGAGTGAGGTTGCATAACTACTCCTTCTAAGAGCCGAGGTTGGCCTTTTCTTGATTAGGAGGGGTCTGGAGGGGGCCGAGACCCCAGAGGGAAGTGAGGGTACACCACTAAAGACTAGAGCATGCTGGGCCGATGTGCATGGGGAGAGAGGGCTCTTTCCTCCTGGCTTGTTACTGGGCAGGGCGGGGACATCAGAGGAGTCCTCTCACCTGGTGACTGTCAGCCGATGGTTCTTCACCACCATTGTGGCATGTGGCTTTGTGGGGTCAGGGCCTGGGTGGATGTGAGACACTTGAAAGTCAAAGGGGTGGAAGAATTGTCCTGGGAATAAAAACATTCAGACTGTCAGTCCCTGCCATCGCCCTAAGCGACATGGCCACTGGCCTTCCAGGGTTAAGGCAAAGGCTGAATGGGGTGTTGTGTGCTGGGTCCGGGGTGACTAGGATGGCCTTTCACGTGGATTTTTCCCTTTGCTGTGTGAACAGCNTGTTCATAGTTGTACCACCATCACCACGTCAATGTTAGAACATTTAATTACCCCCTAAAGAAACCCTGAACCCATTGGCAGTTCCTCATTATTCCTGAAGCCCTCCACCCGTAAGCAAACACTAATATTTCTGTCTCTATAGATTTGCCTATCCTGGCTATTTCATTTAAATGGAATCATACAAAATATGTGGTCTTTTGTGATTAGCTTCCTTTGCCAAGCGTCATGTTTTCAGGATTCATCCATGTTGTAGCATGTGTCACGTACTTCAGTCCTTTATATGGCCAAATAACAGTCCGTTGTATGGCTATACCACGTTTTGTTTATCTGTTCATCAGCTGATGGAAATTCAGATTGTTTCCACTTGTTGGCTATTATGAATAGTGCTACTATGAACATTTATGCACCAGTTTTTGTGTGGACATATATTTTCTTTTTTCTTGGTTATGTACCTAGGGGTGGAAATGCTGAGTTATATGGAAAGCCTGTGTTTAACATTTTGAAGAATGGCCAGGCTATTTTCCAAAGTGGGTGCACAATTTTGCATTCCCACCAGTAATGTGCGAGGGTTCTAATTTTTCCACATCCTTGCCAACACTTGTTATTGTCATCATTGTGATTATAGCCATCCTAGTGGGTGGGGAGTGATTGCTCGTTATGGTTTTGATTTGCCTTTCCCTAGTGGGTAATGAGTGTGGATGGAGTATCTTTCATGTGCCTATTGACCATTGTATATCGATTTTGGAGACCTGTCTATTTTGATTTTTTACACATTTTAAGATTATTTATCTTTTTATTGTTGACTTGTACAATTTCTTTATATATTCTGAATAGAAGTCCTTTATCAGACACGTGATTTGCAAAAATGTTTTCCTATTCTGTGGTTGTTTTTAGTGGCATTGTTTATAGCACAAAACATTTTAATTTTGTTGAAGTCTAATGTATCTAATTTTTTTGTCACTTGTGCTTGTGGTGTCATATCTAAGAAGTCTTTGCCTAACTAACCTAAAATCACAAAGACTTATTCCTATGTTTTCTTCTAAGAGTTTTATCATTTAAGCTCTTAAAATTAGGTCTATAATCCATTTGGGGTTTAGTTTTTGTATTGTGTAAGGAAGGGC